GCTGCCAATTGGTCCGGTGGTTAGAGTCTTTGTCTTCTTGATATTGAGCCCCAATCCATATTGAAGGCTGCAGTCCTTGACCCTCTGCAGCAAGCACTGCAGGTCCTCCTCAGTTTCAGCAATCAGGGTTGTGTCATCTGCTTAACGCAGATTGTTGATGGATCTTTCACCAATCCTGATGCCACACTTCTCCTCATAGAGCCCTGGTTCCCAGATTATCTGTTCTGCATATATTTTACGTACCTAAATTAGAAGAGCTTAATGTGACCTCCCTCTTCTTTACCCAAAGAGAACCACTGGACACCCTTCATTGTCCTGGGAATTGGACCAAAAGAATGAAAATGGAATTAGTTCTTGTTTCTTTATACACATCTTCCCACAAGGTGGAGGCTTGGTGACTGTGTCCCGGGCAGGCTTTAATAAGATGAAACTTAACTCTTTGCCTATGATTTGTTACTCTTCAAATTATCCTGATGTTTCTTGGTATCTCATTTCAATATATAATAAAACTATTCTGTTATATGCAAGGAAAGCAAGAATGACAGTTGTGCAACATGGTGTGTTTGTGAGCTTCTTAGACGTGGATGTGAAATAGTGAGAGAGGAAATTCCTCGGAATCTATTATTTCGTTAGCGGAGTCTGAAAATAACCACATTTTTTGTACTTTGCAAATCAGGCTGGCCAATTTGTGTTGTTTGGTTCATTAACCATAACTGACAGAATCTCAAAAGCTCCTCAGAAAAAAGGTGTATGCTAAAGATAAGAATAGAATAATTCATTCTGAGCTGCCTGCATTTCTCTCCTGGGAAGGACTTCACTGCATGGTTCACTTGGGGCTCTTTGCTTCCTGTGACGCCTTCACTGATAGAAGATGCATCTTGTATCCTGCAGTCTGCTCGGCATTTGCGAGTCAGCCAGGTTCCTGTGGGGAGAGTCAGGTTCTTTGGTTAACTGTCATTTTTCATTCTTCTTAACCAAGATTTTCTTTTCTTAGGCCAGATGTCTGCAAATTGAAGTTTGAAGGGAAGACGTTTTATGTGATTGGCACCCAGAAGGAGGTCGGATCCTAGTTTTTGAACCACCCATTGAGTGTGCATGCAAGTGTGTGTGTGAGTGTGAGATCTGACAGTAAACTAATGCCCTAATAAGGTTGCAGCTTTGCTAGATAGTCAATGCAGAAACATGTTAGAGGTAAATAATATTATCAGCATTGGATATATGTTGTTGTACCATTAAATCAAGTACAACTGTACCGTGTGCTGTCCTGTGCCACCCTCATCATCCCTGACACACTTGAGTGCATTGCTGCAGCCACTGTGTCAGACCACATTTTGAGGGTTTTTATACGGTGCTCCAGTGGCATAGTGTGTGACTTATAGGACTGCAAACAAAAAGTTCAGTAATTCAAATCCACTAGCTTCTCTGAAGTGAAAGATGGGCAGCCGTCTCCTGCTATGCAGATTGACAGCATTGGACACTCAGTGCAGGGTGGCAATGCTTGGCCCCGGCTTGATGGAAGAGAAGGCTGGCATGTGTATTTAATAATTTCTTGCTGCCTGTGTGTGGCAGTCTGCGTGCACAAATAATCACAAGTTTGGGGAGGGCTGGGTAGTGTGCTTTTTTGGGCTTGTGTTTGAGGTACAGTACTGCTCCTTCCCCCAGGAGTGAGATCCTTGAGGCCTGGCCTAGGGTTTAAGGCAGGTGGTGCCTTAAATCCATGAAGGGCCCTCGGGCCTGGTTCAAATTGGTTTTTTGTCAAACATTCTTCTAGGTGGTATAGCACTGGTCTGTTCATTTGCTGTACAGAGCTAACTTGTGATTGCATTAATGCTAAATACTGTGACACCGATGTGCCAAATGTGATAATGGTTATCCATGGTGGAGCTTCCCAATTAAAACAAGCTTGGAAGCAGGAGTGGCATCCACTTCCAAAACGGCTTACCTCTGGAAACTCTATGAACAGTACTCAGGTCTTTGGTTCATAGGGTCTCTATGAGTCGTCTACAACT